TTATACATACATTTTCAGATGTTATTTGTACGTATGTTTGCTAGTCTATTTCTTCGACTAGATCCAGCTAACAGTATTCACTTACTCAACGTTGGCTACACTTCCTGTGATACCACTGACACGTCGTCTTTCCTGGTGCATCGCTTGCGCGGTGTACAAAGGTTCTATGGGTCTGTTCCAGAAGCTGTCTTTCAAAATCTGAGGTGTTTTTCCGTATCCGTCATCGACAACTTTTAAACCAATCGAAAAAAGAATGTTCATAATTGACTAAATACACTTACAAAATGATACTCGCTTAAAATGCAAAAGATGAACAGATCTTTTTATGTTGTTTACGGTTTCAGTTTCACTATAACACAAAGAGAAAAAAAGAGCATTTTTAAACAGTATCTTACAGCTAAATTTTTATCCAGCAAAAAATTGCATTCAAAATCATCATCATCTTCTCCAAACGGGTTCAGTATAACTTCGGCAACTTTTAACCATCCCACATAGAAAATAAACTGTAACGTTGTCATAACTGGAAATACAATGTCCATCTGAAACATATCACTTAATGTAATCTTTTCATAAAAGGCGAAAAATTACACAACTGTTTGTTTTTTTGCAGATGTTTAATGAACTTTGAGCAGTTAATCTCAAATCTTTAAAAAAATTGCTAATTATTACAATATTGAGACTTATTGACACTGTGCACTCAGGTATCACTAAAACGTTTTGACCCTTCTTAAAGCAAAAAGGTAAACTCAATGTTACTTCGGAATCGAGAAGCACTTAAATGTTTCCTATGATACTGAAAGAACAATTAAAGATTATACCGTAGACTTGTCTTTTGCTTCTTCTGAAATGATAAATTGCCTTGAAAATGCACATATTAAGAAATACACATGTACAGCGATAACAATTAATTGAGGATACATAATTGGCAGCGGAACCCAATCGTAGTTGCAGAGTATTGCCATATTTGTACGAAATAGTTTGATTTCCTTGAGTAGCCAAAAAAAAATTAAAAATAAAATAGGAACTAAATAAAATAACACGAAAAACTGCTAATCTAACTGTCTGGCATTTAAATTCAATAATAGAAACCTTAAAACCACAAACAGAATTTGTTGATAACATACCTCACCGACTTTTCTCAGCAGATAATCACTTGCAATTTTCTGTTGTCGACGGGCATCATCACATAATGAAAGTGCCCACTGAAAAGGCATCCAATATCGGTTGTAACGAAATTCACTGAATTCTTCAAAACGTTTTTTCTCATGTTCCAACATAAAACCTTGAAAAATGGTCTAAAAATTTCAACAGTTTCGAAAGCATTTATTAGGGTTTAGATTTTAATGCTCACAATGTTTATTTTTCTTAACAACCTTAATAATGGCAAAGTAACTTACAATTTATTACCTACCGTCGAGCACCGATAACAAAAACCTCTTCAAAAAAGTAGTGCTTCGTATCCCAAAACTTAGTAACATATTATGGGTTAAGGGAAAAACTATAAAAACCTGCTTCAACGATGGCGTCTAATGTTGGGAAACGCCGTCTTGCCCTCATGCTGATATCACGAAACACTAAAGCTTGTGACAGTACACAGTATCGAACAATATTTCGCCTCATTTTCCGTGTTTTTTCATCTGTTCCACGAACATATGCTGCCACCATCAATGCTATACTGCAACACGAATTTCTTTTGATAGATACTGTCATTTAAGTGAAGAAGGAAAATGTCTATCAAATAAAATGTTCTAATGCTCAAAAATCATTTAATTTCAACCCCTTAAGCCAAAAAAGATGATTTCAGTTTTGCACTGTTTTATAAACCATCGTTCACTGAGCTTTAACTGAGGATGTTCAACGTGTCAACTTTTAGATCGATACCATTAAATAAATCTTTGTTGTTAATATTCTGTCAAGAAGAATCTATATGTTTTTCTCGCCATATTTTTTTTCCTTTTGGAAAATTGTCTACAAAACAAACTTGTCAATATATCCGATGTTGGAGAAGAACAGCGTCCACCTATTAAGAACAGAAGTAACAAAAAATCCAAGCATGAAATCGACAGGCACATAATCCAATTTGCTGTCCACATAAGCAATAAACCGCTCAAATTCACTACAATATAACTGCATAGGTGTAAAGTATAGTCATTTTGGCTGCTATAGCAGCTGACAATCTACATAGAGCCTTCATTCTTTCAACTGATAAAATCAGTAGAACAAATTTTTTTTGACACCAAAAATGTAAAAAACTTTCAAATCAGTATAAGCAGATGAAAAAAATGTTGTGACCATTGAATTATAATTTAACTTTCCATCTAAATGAAATAAAAAAGTTTTTCTTCACAGTAGAAATTTCATAGCGTGTTGCTTTTAGTTCTGTTCCTGTTCAATGTAACTGTGGTTTTTTTGTTTTGTTTCTGCAACACTCCACTTTAACACCATTAATCTAGTCGTCTCAATGATCTATGAAACACAGTCATTTTGGTTTGTCGTCAAAGCACCCTAACAGATTCTGCTAAGTACTTATTAACTTTCCACACAAATCGTCCACAACCAAAAAAACTACCATTTCTTTTAACTCAATAACCGCTAACAAAAAAATAAAGTAGCTGATCTTTTTTTATAATAAGTGCAACATATTAATTACGTTTTTGACGTTCCTTTCAAGCCTAGCCGATAAATTAAGGTTATTATTGCATAAGTAATCAACCAAATGAACAGCTCAAAACTAAGGGATTTCCATATGCTTCCTCGCCATCGGAACAGCAGCTTGAACAAAGTCCACGACTTTGACGTGGATACGTCTAATGTGTACTTCACAGTCATCTGTAACACAGACTTCTATGCATAGTTTGAATAACTTAAAGCTATATTAAAGAAACCCAGTAGTCGTGGAATAAGTTTATTTTCAATCATTTAAATTTTATTTGCTAAGTTAAAAACCGATAGCCTCAAGTACTACATTAAAAAAAAAAAACAGGCCGCTGAGTTTATCGTTATATCTAAAATTTTGGACTATGATGTTACTGCAAACGAAGAGAACTGCAGAAAGAACAATTAATTTTTGTTAGTTTCATTTGTTGAATAACTTTTTTTAGGCTATTCAAAAGTATTTGACATATTTATTTTGCGTATCAGTAAAGAAGAATGATCTTTGTATTTGAAACTTGCCTGGTTGGCACAAATACTCGTGCGTACGCAACACCGAACGCTAAGATCTTTGTCCAACAGAAAAAAAGGTTTGCACAAAGGAAGTCCAAATAAAGCCCCTGAAAATTCAACGATACTCAACTGAAGAAATCAGGACTAAGGACTTGGAATGGCACTATTACTTTAATATTAACATGAAAATAAATTTATAAAAGGTAAAAGAAGAAAACGCAGAAAACATTGAACAACAACAAAAAAAAGTGAGAAACAAACGAGTGTAGTATGTAACCCCAAAAAGGTTAAGTTTAAGCAACTTCTTGAGGCCGAGACCCCTCTTGATGTTTTGTGTTTAAAAGAAAAAGAAACTTTATTTAGAATAAGTGCACATATAACCGTAACAATAATTGTGTATCAGCAATACGTATTTTATAAATATAAATATTACCCGCAACTCCTGCATTCTGTTTATACAACAAATAGAAGACAGACAGAAAGCTATATGTTCTTCTTGACTTTCTCATCAATGACTTCATCTTTGACGTTTCGCTGTAAGGTTTCATGATTATCAAACCTGTTTTCTGTTTCATTCTCAACACTACCATCTGCTGCTGGTTGTGGTTGCCGATTTTTGTCCAGTTCATATGTTGTATTTTTTCGGGATATCCCTCCTTCTAAATAGAAAAATATAATTGTATTGTGCAACTGCACAGTTAAACGATGAACACGTTTTGTGTTAAAAACTTCTGTATACTCAAAGTATTTTGAGAAAAAGCGTTAAATAAAAATTCTTCTGTTGAAAAAAATGAAAAGGATCAGAACACTCACATTTACACACATTGAAAGACACTATTTAAGGTAAGAAAGTGTTTGGTAATTTGCTAATTGTTTTGAAAACTGTTTTAAATTTGATTGAACCTTCATTCTCCTCAGCAAGATCTTCAAGTTTATGTGATGCTATATTGTGCGGCGAAAGTGAATAGAAGTATCCGACATGGAATCGAGGCTCTGTTGGGAATGAAAATGGATTTTCTGGATCTTTTGATGACTTCACTGGTGACTGTTCTGCAGTTAACACTTTTTTACCTTTCAAAAATTCGCTATTATCCCCGCTAATAAGTATAAAATACAGTCGAATGAATGTACGAAAGTGCCAAAACCAAAAAGTATTTGCTGTTTTGCTTAGGGTCTATCTTGCAGTATAATGTAAAAACTGAATGCAGTTTTACACTTACAAAAAAATGCTGTATATAGCAAAATAACTGATTTGTTGCCGCTCTACAAGGTTGACAGATGTACCCCTTAAATCCTTAACAGCAGATCGGTAGAAAACAAACCGTCAAGAACAGTAACATTGCCATACGCATTCGATTCTTTAATCATGGCATCGAGTGCAGTGTTCAGACTATCTCGTCGATCTCCACGTTTATCTGTCCCGAGTCCAAAACCCTTCTCTATGGTTGACAAATTCGCAGCACTCTGATTTCTTCTTTTCGTAGTTGGCGCAATAATGTTTGGTGGATTACTATGACTTACAGATCTGTTAAAGTAAAATCAATTGACGGTTAATTAAGTTTTAAAATTTACTCAGAAATTGTGTTAATCAACTCAAACCCGAAAAATTTAATTTTTCTTAATCAAATAACTTTTTCAAAGGTGCGTAGAAATCACTTATTCTTTTTTATTTGTAAGATTAAAAAATACCTAGCAAAAGCCTCCCGCGGAATGCTAAGCTTAGTTGACGATTGTCTGCTGGCTCCTTCATTCCTAAAATTTTATTTCATCCTCTAATTTAAATCGAAAAAATAAACAGAGTTGTTGCCTTGTTTAAAGTCAAATTCAAAAAAAAAAATGCTTAAAACATTACTTCTGTCCCTTGGAAATCGCCCGTTTAAAAGGCTGAAGGATGTTGAAGGAATGACTGTGAGTCATTGCTTCTTCGCTTTCCTCCGGTAATGGTACCATTTCAAAATCGTGCACGCTCTTTTCCGTAATTCTAAAATTATTATCATTGCATCTGTACCAGACAGGTCAGTAAAATTAAACCGATAATATGATTTTTTAAGTAAAGTTTCATTTGAATAATAAGAAGAAATCATTTTTAAACTGTCATCATTAATCCCACTAAGTCTTACATAACGTTCGCGGTTGAGCCAGTTAGGCCACTTCGTGGTTGTTCTTCTTGCATAGACTTGACTGTATATAGTGGCTTCACTTCATTGTTCCAGAAGATATCCTCTTCAATAGTTGGAGTCTTATTGTATCCCGGATCTACCACAGTTAAACCAATCTTTAAAAATGACAATAAATACTGCCGAAAAAAAGGAAAGTAACTCTTGATTTTTTTTGACTCATTTATTCAACTACTGTTAATCAATAGCAGCTTTTTAACAGTCGTTTTAAAAACAGCTTTTCTAGTGATATTTACAAACGTGTCGTAACAAAGAAAACTATTAATAATAATAAAAATAACTGATTTGCCCCAATTAAAAGTCAAAATTATTACCGACAAGTTTTTGTCGAGAAGAAAGTTACATTCAAAATCATCATCATCTTCACCAAATGGATTTAGCATTGCTTCAGCAACTTTTAACCAACCCATGTAAAAAATAAACTGAAGTGTTGTCATCACAGGGAAGTAGAGATCCATCTAAAAGATGTGTTCTTTTAAGTGATAGAAATAATTTTAGGCACAAAAGTCTTTTTAAAACAACAGCATTTTGTGCTGCCGATTGCTACATAAAAGCTTTTTTTTTTTTTGGTGTATTTCCATTCCCCGATTGTCGGCTTCTTCTGTTTTTTTAATGTTTTTTCACATTCTGGATTATATAACAAAACTTTAGGAAAAAACTGAACGGCAATACCTTGGTTTTGTTGGGTGCGAGATCAGAGATCACGAACTGTCGTGAGAAGACGCAGACAATAAAATATGTGTGTACAGCCATAACAATCAACTGAGGATACATAATTGGCAAAGGAACCCAATCAAAGTTGCATAAAACTGCCATATTTGTACGAAAACTTTTGATTTCCTAAAGTTCTTTCTTCAGTTCGTCAAAAACAACTGATATTTAGGCATTAAAAAAAATATACAGATTAAGTGTATCTTACTTCGCCAACTTTTTCTAGCAACACATCACTAGCAATTTTTTGCTGTACACGAGCTTCTTGACATATAGATAATGCCCACTGAAATGGCATCCAGTAGCGGTTATACCGAAACTGATTAAACTCTTCAAATTTCTCTTTTTCGTGTTCCATCATAAAACCTAAAAGTTTCTTTTTTATTTCTTCCCTGTTCAAATTCAATCTGAAGAGTGGCTTTTGATGGCACATTTAGACAACGGCAATATCAGCTTCTGCAGTTAACGTTAACAGATAAAAAGGATTTTCTAAGAGAAGTTTATGCGCCATAAAAATAAAATTTTCTGCAGGAATACCTGCAGAAATCAACGAGTCAATCGTTGGGAATCGTTTTCGTACTCTGAGGCTGATATCACGAAATACGAGTGCTTGCGAAAGAACACAGTAACGGACAATGTTTCTGCGCATCATCCGAGTCTTTTCATCGGTACCTTTCACATATGCAGATACCATTAATGCTATGCTAAAAGTTTCTACGGTTTACCGAACAAATAGCTTTTGGAAAGCAGTAAGAAAGAAATTTTTAACCAAGTGAAAATAATTTTCAGCAATAGTTTGCAATAGTTTCCGGACTTAAAAAAGCTGCTTACAAATTTAAAATAACAAAGTGTTGTTTAGATATATTTTCTACTGAGTTCAAAATTTTTGCTGTAATATTATATCAACTGAATGAACATACTTATCAATGTATCCAATATTGTCAAAAAATCGCAACCAGCGGTTCAGTACCGATGTGACGAAGAAACCAAGCATAAAATTAAGCGGTATATAGCCAAGTTTTTCATCGCAGTATTGAACAAATTGTTCGAAAACCCTATAGAGAATCTGCCAGTGATATTAAGTGATTTGTAAAAATTGTGTTAGCAATACAGAAAAATGAATAAAAATTACATTATTTGTTTTCGTTAGACTGTTATAAGCGGTTTTTCTATATTTGTTTAACAGTTAGTCTTTGCTATATTGTCATAACTAAATAGTCCAGAAACAACCATAGTAAACTACAAAGAAAAAATAAAGACAAGGAAAGTGTCAAATTTGATTAGTTACTGACAACTTTTGAGAGTCACGAAGCGCTGTACGATAGACAATAGTAATAATTGCAAACAGCACTAGCCATACAAATAGTTCCAACAAAACAGATTTCCAGATGCTTCCTCTCCACCGAAACAACAACTTAAACAATGTCCATGGTCGTGATGTCGACACGGCTAGATTGTATTTTACGGTCATTTTTTCTAAAAATTAAATTTCTCCCCTCTTTGACTGTATTTTTAGCAATCGCCTTTGTCACATTTATTAAATTAAAACTTTTATTTGACTCAAAAGGAAAAAAAAAAACAAGAAACCATTTAGCGGGTGCAGTAAGGTACAGTAGAGGAAGAATACACTGCAAACCAATATCAATAGCAACAACCTTACTGCCGAATTTTAGTATTATTTAACAATTGAGGATGCTGATTTTGGTAAAGAACAAATCAATTCTAAGTTTTTTTAGAATGTTCAAAAAGCTGAAAATCCCCTACAAATCATGATGAATATTCAATAATGTCAAAAAGAGAAAAATTTTTTTTATCTGACAGCAAAAGAACTTAGTAAACTGTTGGCTGACTGAAACAGAAATAATCAATGATTTTATATAAAACAGTAAAAGTAACAATAATATTAACAATAATAATAATGATAACAATAGTAATAATAATATTGATAATATTATTAATAAAAATATTAATAACAATATTTATAATAATATTGATAATAAATATTAATGCTAGTAATAACAGTAATAGTAATAGTAATAGTAATAGTAATA